TTTTCTGTACTCTTGAAGATGGATTCATTTGAGGTGGTGCTAAAAGGTATTTTCCTTCAAAAGGTGTCCAGTAACTCTAGCTCTCAAAATTTCCTATTGGTCATTTGATTGTTAAATCAACTCTCTGTTAGGTGCAGAGATCCTTTGTCTGGGCTATGATTTTATTTCTGTTATATTAACTCAATGGGTGAGACAAGCTGAGAACTGTAGACAAATTTGTAGGAGTTTTATATATAAAGTCACATAGGACTCAGGAAGAGCCTGAGTTCATTAATATTTTCTTATAAACTGTGCAATCGTATAGCTACTTAATCTCTGCTTCTGTTTCCTTATATATAAAATGGGGATATTAATTATTAACATTTTATAGACACATTGTGAGGATTAAATATTTTACTATACATAAAGGATTTGGAACAGTATCTGACACACTGATATTATTATTTTATTATTATTACTACATGTTATATTTTAGTTAAGTAATTTAAATTGATTTATATGTCATCAGTCTTACTGTGGTCAAAAATTTTATAGACACTCAGGTTTAATGTTAGTGCTATCTGCTGAAGGAGGAACAGCCAGAACTCAGTGGGCATAGAATTCACGTTTCTAATTCTACAGATCAAAACCTCATTAACCCATAAGCCCATAATTTGGAATTTATGGTAATATAGGAGAAATTTAATTTTCTGGTGTCTGTGAAGGTAAGGTTTGCCAGACAAATAAATAGAGGGTATTTTTGACTAGCATAAGGGAAAAATATTTGATAAAATTAAACTACTCTAAGAATATTCTTTAGCACATAAAAATAAAGGTGCATTCATAAATAAGATATTTGGAGAGGTTATTTTAAAATGGTTCTTATTTGTATATTACAGTAGGTCCAGGAAGCCATATACTTGACAACACTTTATTAATAATTAGTAAGTACTGAAAGTAATAAATGTATATTTTCTTTCAGCATATTCTTTCTGACTTTCTCCCTACTCTTCAATATTAATGAAATTTCTACACACTATTTAAAAAGACCCCAATCAATATTCAAAGCTAAGAGACTCATTATTCATTTTAAAAAAGAATAATAAATACAAATGTTCAATCAATTCAGCAAAACAGGTAACCCACGTTCCATGAGAACTTTGTCCATGCTGCACCAGAGCAGGAGGTCAGGGAAGTTGCCCTGGCACCTGTGGGCATATCCTATACTTGTTCTTCAACAGGATAAAGGCTATGGTGTGGAATACCACGTTACCTTCCCCCCAGCTGAATTGTGTGAGATTCTAGGGAGGGAATCAGGGTGGCAGAGGGACACAATGGCTCAACTTTTGAATTTTATACCAGGAGCATGTCATATCTATTCAAAACTTTTAAAACTTTATAAGGATTTAGTACAGTTGACTAGTCCTTTGTTATCAGAATATTATCTTTTCTTGGCTTTGATCATACCACAGTGATTTTTCTCTTACCTTTTGGGACATTTCTAATTTCACTCGTCTGGATGACAGTAATTGCCCTTCTCTGGAAGATTCTCGTCTTAGTCTGTTCATCCTGCCTGCATAAGTCTCATATACTCCCATGACTTGAGTTGTTTGCATCTGCAGGATCATCAAATACAGACTTATTCATTAAAATGTACATATTAGGTTTCTACTATGGGCACTAGGCACTAGAATACAGCACTTAGCAAAGCAGGCAAAATTTTCTGTTTTTCTGAACTTGCATTCCAGTCAGGAAGATAGAATTACAATGGGCAAAATAAAATATGTTAGACAGTAATATGTCTTAAAGAGAAACGTTCAGACAGAAAGAGAAGTAGTATCAGGATGGGATGCAGAAATTTTGTACTGGCCCCACATCAGCCCTCAGTTCTGAGCTTCAGGTACATATATCAAAATGTCCAGTGCACCCTGCATGACTAGCTGGGACCTTAAACTCATTGTGACCCAAACTGAATGTACTATCCCTATCAACTATCTTCTACCACCACCACTGAGATGCTCAAACCAGAATGTATGAGTCATTCTTGAATCCTTCTTCTCCCTTATTCCTCATATCCCATGGGTGACAAAGTTAGCCAGTTCTCCCACATAACTCTAGCCCCTTCTCTCCATCTTCACATCACTATCCTAATTTGGACCAACATCACCTGTCACCTGGATTCTTGCAGTAAGAAATCCCCTATAGCCATTACCACCTTCCTCCAGTGTGATTAAAACTCATCTTGTCACTCCTCTACTTGAACAGGTCAGTGGAACCGAATTGCTCTTGCCCAGCTCCCCAGACACACCACTCTTGGAGCCACTCTTACCCTTGTCCCCTAGTCTTTGTTCTTCCTTCATTCTTCATTTATGCCATCCTCTCTTGGCCCAGGATATTTTCACATACTGTTTCTTCTTCCTGGAATATTCTTCCCCCAACTCTTCATCAGGCTAACTCATCTTTCAAATTTCAATTAAAACATCATTCTATCAGGCAAGTTTTACCCAAATCCTCAAACTGAGTTATTTGCATCAATTATGCATTCCATAATATCCTATCTTCCCCACTTCACAATACATGCTACATGTGTTATCACTTCTATACTGCTTTTTCCCACACTGGAACGTAAGCTCCAAGAGGATAAGGACCATGTCTGCCTTTTCAACACATCATCCCTAGTGCTCGTCAAATAATGTTTGATGTAGAGTAGGTGCCCAGTACATATTTACTGAACAAATGAATAAATATTATAGCAAAGACAAATAGCATATGATTAGTGACGGTTATTACTTGGCATTTGTATGCTTCATACTCAGACATGATTTTGAATCATGATCTCTGAAGAGCACTTACATATTGCCTTCTCATTGTACATCTGGGATCATGGAGGATGCTCTCCAGCAAATAACACATTTCCAGAATCCAGCAGTGCCTTCCCTTGCACATTATTGTTCCAAATTTCACATTCCTAGGCAGCATTACCAGCCAAGTCTTCCAGAGAGATTTACTACCGTTGATTCTGCTGGAAAATAGAGACCCACTTTAGGCATAAATTGATCTCAGAGTTTGTAACCAGTAGGACTATCTCTAATTATATTAGTTACCGTTATTATTAAGAAATAACAATGAGATGGTACCACATAAAGAAAATAAATACGATTTTGTCTTCTGTCCTTTTGATTGCTGCTTGGGTCTTTAATACATTTTCTTCTTACCCTTATCTTAATTCCCTTGGAATATCTGCTCCTCTCTTCTCAGGCTAATCTATGCCTTCTCAGGATCATTGCACCAAACTGAAGTCCGCTCAGTCTTTATAGGCTAATGCTATTAAACCTTGTTTGCTTTCTTGTCCATTCATTATTCCTTCCTTATTCACTAAAAACTGCTGATATGTATTAATCACATGCCAAATGCTACACATATGTTTACATCATTCTACAGCAAACAAAGAAGGCACTATATTTTAATTTTTAAAGAAGAGGAAGCTGAAATTTAGAGAAGTTAAGTGACCTGCCCAAGTCCCCAAAACTCTAAGTATCTGAACTGGGATTTGAGCCCAAAGGTCTGCCTCCAGTTCCTTTGAAACTGTTGGCACTGTGCTATTGTCATACTTGCTGAGATGCAGGTTACTATAGCTGTTCGGCCTCCTTTCCCTTAATTTTCCCTTTATGTTAGGTCTTCAGTAAATACTGTTTAACTTTTCCCTGGGCTGTTATTATTATTATTATTATTATTATTAGTGGATGATGACTGATGGTATTCGTGGTTTCGTTCTGTTCACTGAATTCTGTTCTTTCAACCGAAATTGAACTGAGCCTAAATAAGAGGAGCTGGTAGTGCAGCAAGTGCAACGTGGATAACCCTGTCAGAAGGAAAACCCTATTTCAAGGTGTTTTCAAGAAGAAGAAGAGCTTTCTAGGGCTCCAGGAGTTGGTGTAGTAAAACTGTTTGGGAATCCTTTGGTATAATGTTAATACATAATCTAAACTTTCCCCACCTTCAGTAGGGTGAGCCTATGTAAAAGATTACCGTTGTTTTGTGAGTCCATAGAAAGAGGGAAATAGGCAGTTTTCCTGAGCCATAGGTCTGTATTTTGATTCCTGTAACTCTCAACCTAAGTAATTAGATAGGAGAGTTACAGATTTCCAATCTCTCCCTCTCTCTGTCTCTGTCTCTCTGTCTCTGTCTCTCTGTCTCTGTCTCTCTCGTGTTCGTATGTGTGTATCTTTGGACCGACTCCTAGGAGCTGGGAGACCGCCACACTCTAAATCTGTACGTCTGCACTGTTGAAGAGGCTGTTTTACCGTCTCAAATCCAGAAACTCCCCCTCCCGCTCGCCTTCTGTCCTCGGGGAGCTGTCAGATTCCCGCCTAGCAGCCCTCCCGCCTCCACACTGCCCCTGGAGTCAGTACCCGGCGGCCCCAGAATGACCCCTGACCTTGGCGGGGGAGGAGGGAGATTGCCAAGAGGTATAAATGTGTCAAGAGTGCCGAAGGGACCAGGACCTTGAGGAGTCCGGGTGCGACGTCGGGCGCCCCCTCCTCTCTGCAGACGGAGGCGGGGGCCAGCCTGGTGCGAGGCGCGCGCCCGCGTTTCTCGAGGCCTCCGGGGGCTCGGCGGCAGCAGGAGCTGCGCTGCAAGAGGAGTCCGCGGCCGGCAAGGTCGGGGCGAGTCAAGACCGTCTTGTCTAATGGTTAGGGTCGCTGGCTTTCGCATCCAATCTCGGTTTCACCTCTAGCCACCTGGGTGACCTTGGGCAATTTCCTTAGCTTTAGCGCGCCAGTTTCTAAATCCATAATGTGGGGAAAGCGAGGTGCTGGCTAAACCTGGGCTTGTAAGAATGAACTAATGAAGCACTCTTGGCACGTAGTAGGCGCTCGGTTACAGGTTAAGCTGAGGAGGAAGAGTTAGAAGTTCCGCTTTGGGGTCCGGAACGTAGGTTCCAGCTCTGACTTCTCCTGTATTCACCAAGGAGAGGGGGAGGGGGCAGCGGGAGCACCTGTCCTCCCCCCTCCCCTGCTCCTCTGTTGCCAGATAAACTCGGGAGAACCCGGAGAGTCCGTCCCGGGCCGGGGCACCCTCAGACTGCCCGGCTGCCGGAGACTAGCAACGTCTCCGGGCGCCCGCGGCTCATCTCTTTCCCGCGAGCCGAGGAAAGATTTCTTCCGTGTATCTCCCTCCCTCTCGAACCCTGGAGCTCGCTCGCTGCTGCCTCTGGGTCCCGGCGGCCGGGGAGAGCCGGGTCGAGCCTCCGGCTGCAGGGAAGAGGCAACCCCGGGGCGTGCGAGTCCCTCCTGGCCCCGAGCCGGGGAGCGAGGAAGAGGTGGCGCGGAGCCCGCGGGAGGACGCGGAGGCCTCGAGCCCCTTCCTCATTTCGCCCGCCTTCCGGGGACCGCTCTGACTTTTTGCGTCCCAAGGCACCGCCACCCACCCTCCCCGGCCGGGGCCAAGGGCCGAGGGGCCGACGGCCAGAGGAGCCGGGGACCGCAGCGCCGCGCGGCGGGATTGGGCAGCGAGCGCAGGCCGGCGAGGTGAGGAGGGGCGCGCGGCGCGCGGGGAGGGTGTCGCCAGTGTGCGCGCGCGAGTGCGCGTGCTCTGAGGGGGCGTGGGTGCCAGCCAGGCGAGTCCGACCCGGCAGCCAGCCCTTCCTGCACCCGGTCACCGCCGGAGCCTCTCGCCACCCGGCCTCCCTAGGCCCCCAAGTCCCATCAACCCTTCCTGCAAACTCCACCCTCCCTACTAATAATTTCCCAATGCAGAATCAGACCGAAACCTTGAGAGACAGCGCTGTCTTTCTACTCCCCTCTCCCCCCCCCCCGCCCCCCGCCCTTCCTGCTATAAATAATCCGGACCAGCGGGTCAGGCACGTCACACGGTGAGAAACCGGGACCCCGAGGTTTTCTTCTCTGAGGATAGGGGGCAAAGAGTGAGGAGAAGGAGAAAGAAATTGCTCGTGAGTAGTGAAGAAAAGCTTGCTCTTTAACTCCTAGAAAAGACCAGGCATCATTTTATTATCATTCTCTTTTTTCCTTTTTTTTTTTTTTTCATTTCCGTGTCTGTCTTATTCTCCATGCTACGTCCCCCCCTCCACTCCCGGCCCCAAATCCAACGCATTGCTCAACACTCCTCCCATCGGTTTCTTTCCTCCCTCCCCCTTTCACTCCCGCTCCCACCTTCCCCTTCCCTCCTCTTCCCTCCGCCCCCCCCCCGCCCCCACCTCCGCCTCCAGCACCCATTTCGCCCCAGGCAGGGAATGCTATTTGCCACGGAAATAAAGTTCAGATTTCTCTCCCCCGCCCCCGCCGCTTGCTGATACCAGAAGTGGACTCTCAGGCACCTATCTTCCCCCTAGGACTACACACCTGCTCTCCTTTAAATTCCTAATCTGGTTTTGCATATTTAAGAGGAAACACCCCCCCCCACACACACCCCAAAACCCCACAACCCGCGAGGTGCAAAACTGCCTCCTGCAAGTACCAAAACTTAACAGACTCTCTAGTTGTTTTTGTCTTAACAAAAGGACAACAAAGATTTTGCTCCGGGTCCTCCTGTGGGGTGACTTTTCTGTATTATTCAAATATGCATATATTATACATATATATGTTTTTCCTTTTTCCCCTTTGATTTTTTTTTTTTTTTCCTCCTTAACAAGAAAATCTTCTCGGTCCCAGGCAACCGCTGCTGCCCCTTTGATGTTTTGGTACGCCTTGCGCATGCGCCTCACATTAGAATTACTGCACTGGGCAGACTAAGTTGGATCTCCTGTCTCCAGTGAAACCCTCAATCCCGTCCAAAACTAAAGGGATGTGGAGAGTCCGGAAAAAGGGCTACTTTGGGATCTGGCCGTTCCCCTTAATAATCGCCGCTGTCTGTGCGCAGAGGTAAGTGTGTCTAGCGCTTCTGTTTCCTTTTTCACTTTGAAAGGCTCTGTCTGCCTACCTCTGTGAGCAAGGATCTGTAGTGAGGATCAGATAGATGCTGAAGCGCTGTGCCTGCTGTCTTATTGATGCCTGTTTATTGTCTTTTCTTTCTTTAGTGTCAATGACCCTAGTAATATGTCGCTGGTTAAAGAGACGGTGGACAGACTCCTGAAAGGCTATGATATTCGGCTGAGACCAGATTTTGGAGGTAATGGGGTTGCCTTGGAAATAAGAAACAGCCCAGCAGCTATAGCCTAAGCTGTCTTTTGAGCTTTGTGCGCTGTCTTCCCTCTCCCTCATTGTGGGTTGCATGTGGTGTACTGAACATGTCTCTGTGTTACAATATTGAGAAACTGATCCAAACTTAAGCTGGTTTGTTACTCTCCAGCACTTAGATGGTCTTTCAGAGAGACCCTCTTAGCCTGTACTGGCGACTGCTGTCCTTCAGCTTCACTGTTTAAATCCTTTGCTTCACTGTCTTTGTTTCCTTGAGATATAAACCTCTTAAGTTTAGTTAATGGTGTGCCCGGTGAACCTGGCTTACTGAAGGCCATCGGGAACATTTTTGGGGACAAGATATGCAGACAGTTGGTTGAGAAGTCACATTAACCCCCTGTGCCCACCTACTTTGGAAGAGTTCTAACCATGGTTTAAATTGGCTGGTGTCTGGATATTATCCAGCCCTGGAAACCTCACTGCAGGGGACAGTGGGGTGGGGGGAGAGGGGCCTGGGGGGATCGGAGGATAGGGAGGGTAGTGGAAGAAGGGCTAGAGACCTCTCTTGCTGCAGCCTTAGATACACTGATATGCCTATTTAATTTTACTCCAGACTCTAACAAAGCTCAGAGTTAAAACCTTCACAGAAGCGGGGGGTGGGAAGAATGAGGAGGGGGTTTCAGTGCAATATATAACATTTCGCTTGGGCTAGCCAGATTCCGGTGCTTTTGTGGTTGTGTGTATTCTCATGCTAAGACACCTACCTATGTAGACAGACGTGGAATCCCTCACCCATCGGACACGTGTGTGCCTATTCAATAGAGCATTTCCCAGAGGAGTACCTGTCACTCTTTAAAAAGGAGCAGAGAATTGAAGAATTTGAGTGTGAGCAGTGGGAAGGGATTTGGGGCAGAGTGTCCCGTGCCCGGGGACTACTCTTGCTAAGAATGCATGAAGTTCTGAGAAATCACGTGGCTGGCCATTTTGGTTTGCAGGTCCCCCTGTGGCTGTGGGAATGAACATTGACATTGCCAGCATCGATATGGTTTCTGAAGTCAATATGGTGAGTATTGAGGTTTATGGCTGTGTCTCTGCAAACCTTCATTTGGGGACAGGAAGGAGAAAGGATCCAACTGGTGAGGGTGGGGTGTGCATGAGTATGTGTAGGAAGTGGGGTGAGGGCAGGGCATTTTGCTTTGGAACCCACTGTCTTTGAGGCTTCAGAGCTGGCTCTTTCTGGTCCCTAAAGATTTTTCCAACCTGGTTTGAAATCGTGGGACTTGGCGAAGAGGGTGTAAAATGCATCCCACGTTCACGTGCAAAACGCAGCCACATGCAGGAGAACCCCTGCAGGAGTCACATTTCCTAAGGTTCAGTGGGAAACCCACTTCATCAAGTGATTTTTCTGAGTTTGGTGTGGGGTCAGGGAAGGAAAGAAGAGGAGAGAAAAGGGAAGTGTTTGGATTTGAGATTTCACAGAGAATATAACCTGGGAACTAAACTGTAGTGGAGAGGCTGAATAAATGACCCTCGGATACTGATATCCACTTGTTGCTTTTGGAGCCGGCCTCTTTACAGCTGATGGCAAGCCCCGCCCCCTGCCCATGGCTTACCTGCTCCTTTAACCCCCAAAATAAATAAAATAAAAATCGGCCACCCTGCTTTCAAAAGGTAAGCTCAGACCTATGTGTCATCTCTGGTCACTTCTGCAATGGTATTCACCGCATGTCCTAAGCCTGTGTGATTTATGGACAGCAGCACTCCTTAGTGGCCCCCTCCTTGGTCTTGGGGCAAGTGCTAAGAGAAAAAGCCTCCGTCTTCCCCTCCCGGGAACACTTGTGTGTATGTGTGTGTTGGGGGGGGGGGGGAGGGGGGCGGGGCTGAGGGGAGGGTTGCTTCATGCAGGAGCGCCCCCTGCTGCCCATGTTGGGGCACTGCAGACATACAAGACAATAAGTGTCCCAGATACCCCTGCTTACTTGTGCCATTTCTTCAGTGACTTTTCTACTCTGTGTTTTTGAAGTTTTCACCCTTGGAAAAGTCTCTCTAGAAAGGCCACATTTGAATGTAAGATGTCAGGGTTACTTTCAGTCCTAATAGGATACAGCACATTGCAGAAGATTGTATTGTAGTGTAGTTTTGCCTGGAAACAGGATGCACTGTTAAAGAAGAGGGTCTAGTGTGTAAGGTTTTATGCAAAATAGTTCTAAGCCAGCCATCAGGACTTGAAAGTTAGGACACTTATTAATTCACTCGAGAGCCAAATACTAGGTAGTGGATATGCTCTTAACATGATGTAAATTTTCATCACCCCAGAATTCAAATTTAGAGGAAGCTCAAATAACCAGCCCAACCTTATACAATGTCCAAAGATAGGTGATAATCCTGAGCTATCACAAGCTTATGAAACATCTATGACTACTCCAGAGAACATTCAACTCTTTCAGTGATGTTTTTAAGGACGTGTATCTTGTTATATTCTAATTATTGGGAAAGCATTTTATGATATAGGATATGAACACAGACTGAAGACGCTATTGGATGATTCAGAACCATAGATTTCCCACACATTGTGAGAATCTCCTGTGTGGGTAGAGAATATTTCTTTCTTGGGAAACTAAACATTTAACTTCTCAGATATACAAATATTCACTTTTGTGAAATTTTAGAGGTCTTTCATCAGTTTATATTTTGAATTTTACCATAAAAATAGAAAATGTCCTCATGTGGGTACCTGCTAAGTCCTAGGTACTTGAATCTAAATTGTGTGGCTAAAAAGAAAGTGATATGGAAATCAGGTGTAGTTCTGTGTGTCCTGTCTTTTGATTTACTTATGCTCTTTTCCCACATTTTATTCTGTCACCTTCCTCTTCAGAGCATCAGAAAGGTGAGACTTTATGGAAAAATTAAGAAATATTTAGAATCTAAAGAGACAGTGATGAGATGATTAGAAGTTGCTGCATTAGAACTTAGATGTATAAGTTAGCTGAGAACTTAGACCTATTATATCCCAAAATGGCTTAAGAGTAGTGGCATTGTTTTCTTCTTCTTAAGTTTTGTTCATTTTTCACCAGCATGCAGCATTTTGGAGAGGTGTCAGGGCTGGACATGATGCCAAGACCTGCTAGTCAAAATATAGACCCAGTTAAGGCGAGGTGTCATCTCTTAAAGCTATTTACTGTTGCAGAAAAGTCTCGGGATGTTGAAAGTGCAGAAACAAACGTCAGGTTGTAAATAAGCCAGTACTGCAGCATTAATGATTAGAACCAAGCATTAAAAATTCCATGCTAGATTCCTTTCTTAGCCTACTGCTAACACACGTGGACTTGTCCAGACACAGTTTTACTTGTTGAAAAATTAACACTTTTATGATTAACAATCATAGTGACTTTAATCCTTCAAAGAAAAATTTTGTGATATGTACTATTTTTTAAAGTATGGTTATTTGATTTGAAGCAACAGATGGGAAATTCCATCCCTGATGTCTAAATAAAAGAAGATGTTTATGGCATATTGCCCACTGTATACAGGTCTAAAAGGGTTAGGATCTTTCGATTAGATTCAGCTCTGAAAGAATGGTTGATTGATTATTTAAGTGAAACCTCAAAATTGATTAATGCACATGTTTCTGCCTCATTATCCTTTGTGGCCTGCAACCTCTGGTACTTGTAGCTTTCTTTTATTATAGCAAATCTTCCTTTGAAGAATGGTAGGCACCAGACCATTTAGACTGTCATTGACTCATTTGTACTGAAAGGAAAAATGGCCCATGTCGATGTGGTGCTCCTGGTAAATGACAAAGATAGAAAGACCTGAATACTAGTTCTGCTTCTGCTGTTCAGTGAACTTGAAGGAATTGACAGCCCCATGGGGCTTGGTTTCTCTTTTTTAATATATATATATTTATTTATTTGGCTGCACCTGGTCTTAGTGGTGGCACGCAGGATCTTTAGTTCTGGCATGTGAACTCTTAGTTGAGGCATGTGGGATCTAGTTCCCTGACCAGGGATCAAACCCGGGCCCCCTGCCTAGAGAGCATGGAGTTTTAGCCACTGGACCACCAGGGAAGTCCTGGGACTTGATCTCTTCACCTGCTAAAAGGGAATAATAGCCCCCGTTTACATATTTTAGGTGAGTACCAGAATTAATAAAATGATGCAAGTGAAAGTACTGGTGTCCCATGAACATAGCTTATATAGAAGACTGAATGTCAGCCTGTCACTAAGGAGACCCAGTGTCCATTCCAGCCGCTGCCCTAAGTGTACTTGGGTCAGTGATTTACATTACGTGGTCTCAGTTTCCATATGTTTGAAATGAGAGGGACATGCCAAATTGATTTCTAACTCAAAGTTACATGTGTTTCTGCTTTGGTTTATTACAATAGCTCTGTTGGGTACAAAGAAGTTCCAGGAAACTTGGAAATCCAGCAGAAACGTTAGAAAAATGCAGAATTCCTAAATGGCATGCCGTGCTGAGTTCTTAGGAGGGTGATGATGGTATCTTACTCACCCATGTGACTCAGGTGACTGTTGATCCAGTGGAAGATCTCTGGAAGAACACGATCTCAATTAGAATGTTCCTGAGCAGAAAGCTTGGCTTTAGAATGAAACATTTTTAGATGTCTTGGTTAAATTGGCAGGACTCTTTTTGTTAAGATTCTTTGATGAAAATGCATTTTAAGTTCCAAAATTGGCTCTGAGGATTATGGACTGAAATAGCTTTCTCTTCATTTAAAGCAGATTCTTCTCCATCTTGGAACAACACATTTGCCAACCGAAGAGTGAAGCAATATTTCACTTTTGAGGAAAGCGTTCTAGTAAACATATACACAAATTACCTTTTTATGGAATGGCAAATGGTGAAAAGTGCTGCCTTTTTTTGTTTAAACAGATGTTTTCTTGCATCACCAGCTGCACAGTTTAAAATTCAATTCGACACAAATACTTATTTAGCAGCTACTATGATCCAGCTATGTGTTAGGCCATAGGGACAGAGCAGCGAACAAGAATGACTTGTCCCCTGACCTCATGAAACTTAATATCTTGGTGTTTACTATCGTTAATTCTACTGCAGGCTCCTATCATACTTACGTTTAACATGAGCATTTTCTCTAAAAATTTTTATGAGCAGCCTCTTGAGGACCTAGTTGTCTGTATCCCCCATGCGTTCCTTTGTCACTTGTTGATTTCACCATTCATTTGTTATTTAATATTTCAAATTGCCTGATATGTTACATATTTATTGTCTTCCTAAATGATTTGTATAAAATACATGTAGCCAAGGTTATAGTATCTCTCTCCATGTGGTTTTGCTCTGTAAACAACGGGTGGTTGGAAGTTTGACTACATAGTATCATATATGTGGAGAGACAGAGCATGGACTTGTAGGCCTCAAATTCAAGACACTTTTTAAATTACTATTTAAATCAATGAATGTGGAAAGAATCACAGTGTAGGACCACTGAGTTCTTTGAAAGCAGAAATACACAGGGCATATTGGAAATACAGAATTCTGAGGTATTACGTAGAAATTACTAGGTGAAGATGGGGGTTAGAGGTCTGTGGATAAATGTTTTAAGCAGAAAGTGGCATATAGGAGAAAAAACAGGAAAAATAAATGGGATTAGGAATTTGCAAGTAGCTTTAAATGGCTGGATTTGGGAGTGGGAGTGAGGAAGTGATAAGATTTGGTATTGAGATCATAAGTGGTGATCAAATTATATAGACCATTGTTGTAGCTTGCAGAAGAGTTTACATTTTGTTCCAAAGGCTGTAGGGACCCATGAAAAGATGTCAGTAGGAGAATCGCTTGAACAGATTCACACTTGAGGAAGATGCTTTTGAAGTATGAGGGGTGCAGCAAGACCAAAGGTTGGGAGATAAGGTGAAAATCCACTGCAAAAATCCAGAAAGAATGGATGAACGGAGACAGGGATGTAAAGGAGAAGATACAAAAGCAGGGCTTTTACGAGGCAGAAGTGGCAGGGCTTGGTGAATCCTAAGTTTCTGATGGTTTCATTTATCGACATGGGGAACACCAAAAGGGCAGCTGGTTTGGGGGTGG